ATATTTTTTTATGTCTATCATCATATGCACTTTTCCCATTATGAAACTGAATGAGTTTTAAATTACTGTTTTCTCTATCCAAATCACCACAAAAAATGCTTAAACGAGAAAGCATTTTTTATGGTTATTTTTATGGTGATGGACATAAAAATATATAATAATAATAATAATAATAATAATAATAATAATAATAATAATAATAATAATAATAATAATAATAATAATTGACAGGCTGCAAAATGAAACAGTTGTTGGGCGGGAGCTTTCTTCTCTGTGCTAATTTATCTGAGAGGTGTAACTAACTCCAAAGCAAAGAATCATGTGAACTCACCAATCAAACAGCGCAGAGGACTGGCATCAGTGTCTAGTCGATCTTCTTTTTTAACATCGATCAGCATGTTCCCATCCGCAGCAAAGTGGGCTTTGCTGATCACCTCGCGCCTCACTGCACACCGCGCACTTGTTGCAGTTTCCATAAACGGTCAGATCCGGGTCTGCCCAAGTCCTTCTAATGTTCCTGAAGCCTGAAATCAACTGCAAAACAAGCCCACTGAAAAAAAAAAAAAATAAAAAAATAAATAAATAAATAAATAAATAAATAATAATAATAATAATAATAATAATAAACTTTTGTCCAACTTTAGCTCTCCCAGTCAAGAAGGACGAAAGAAATCCAAGAGGTTCAGAGTGATGGCCGTGATGCAGCACTTCAGCCTGTTCTGTTCCGAGGGGAAAAACTGAAGCCCTCCTCCTGCTGCGCTTACCGCAAGTTCTGCTGGGGATGGATCCGCCTCCACGCAGACCGCAAACTAAAATCAAAATATACGAAGATATCTGTCAGCGCTTTTACGTTTGATCTCATTTAACTCTAGCTAAAAAAAAAAGTCAATATACATCTACTTTAAATTTCACTAGATTTATTTTTTAATTTATTTATTTTAAATTTCTATTTTTCTTTTCACGTTTTAACATTTTATTGGTTATTTTTATGTCGATGTCACGATTCCTTATCTTACAGACTTGGTTTTACACTTGTCTTTGTAAAATTGCGAACTCTTTTTTAGAGGCCGAGTAGAGAGTGATTATCTACCTAAACAAATAATATGAAGCACAATCCAAACTTCTAATAACCATTCAGGACGAATTTAAACGCATTTTTATCTCTTCTTGTTAGCAATCAATATATTTCGTGACTAAGAAGAACGAGCACCCGCTTTCACTGATTAGACATAATAACTTCAGGTGTTGCGTGCATTGTCTAGTTACGTCTGTTGTTCGGGATGTAAACGTTGTGCATAATGGCTAGTGGATTAGAAAAGCTCAATCTGTGCACGAACTGCACAGAGCCGAGATTAAATAAAAAATGTTAATGAGCTCCACTATTACTCTTTCTGCTGTCCTCATGTTCGCTTTTCCATGCCAGGTCAAAAAATGTTTTTATTCATTCGAAAGACTCTATATGCCTATATATACTTCCTGAGAGAACACAATGGAAGAACCAAAAAAACATTAAACATTACATAAACTTTGCCTTTCCTGAGAAACAGAATATCAAAAATGTATATGTAAAAAATAGATGAATGGTTCTCTGCATATAGAGATACATTTGCAAGGATCTCTATCTATCTATCTATCTATCTATCTATCTATCTATCTATCTATCTATCTATCTATCTATCTATCTATCTATCTATCTATCTATCTATCTATCTGTCTGTCTGTCTGTCTGTCTGTCTGTCTGTCTGCGCGTGTGTGTACTTGTGTTCAAGCCTTTATTTCTGTTATTTATGAGAATTTTCTGCTTACTGCTATTTAAACATAAATATTTAGTAGCATGTGTGCTGTTCGGGTTATTCTTTTAATCTGACTAATGATCTTCATCGGGCGGAGCGCATCCAGATGAAATGGAGTAGCCAGCTCGTCAGCAGAAAGCGGTGGCTGGGAGCATAAAATTGAAGCGGTGTGAGGTTTAGTTTGGATCATTTCACATTTATGAGTCTAACGTGAGAATGAATGGACTGCAGAGTTCAAAAATAGACTGGATTAAAAACAACATAAGGAGAGTTGTAAAGGCGGCTAATATGATTTATTGAAAGCATCAACTACCATCTTCTGGTAGAAAACAAAATTATTTTAAAAAGGTAAGAAAATCGAAGAATTAACATATAACTGAATTCAAATGTTCATCAGATTAATCACAAAATTGGCCTTCTCAGCCTTCAACTAAAAGTGAATTACCTTTTTTTTTTTTTTTTAAATTAAAGATTTCCACTAATACATTTCAAAGTTTTAGTAATGGGTTTTAGGATCTTGGAAAAAAGCCTTAGTTCCTCTTTAAAACTTGCCCTAATTTATTTTCTTAATATACAATTTTAGGGCGTATGAAGTGTCCAGAGAAAAAACATACATGCTGCAGTGAGGCTGCTTTTATTACCATCATAATTATACCTTTTTAAAATAATACACCAAGTCTAGGCTGTTTTTTGTTATTAAGATACAATGCCATGGATTTAAACATTAATGAGACAGTTTACACCATATTTAACAGCATATATTAAAAATATATCAAGACAAAGGAGAGCATAATTGTATAAAGGAGAAAATGGTTTGTATATTGATATTTTATATTTCTTAGAGAACATCAGAGAACAAACAGCATCATTAAAATAAACAAATAGCAGGTCAGGACGGAAGTTGTGAAAAAGATTAGTTAAGATGAGGTTACAAAACAATCTGACATAAAAATGATAACAGCATGTCAAATGTATTTGGATATATGGCTAATAATATCTAAAATTGATAGAAGAGGAGTGAGATAACAAAAAATCTGCTTCCTATTAAGTTTGTTGTAAATCTGTCTGGCTTTTTTTTTTTTTATTTAACAGTCCACAATTAGTGCTTTGATAGAGCGTGCTGTGATGTGGTGTCTGTGTTTCCACCGATGTACTGGAACCTCCTGTATTTATGTCACATGTGAATCCTATAAAAGATCAAACTGGGTCTGAAAGCTTTACAGTTGTTATAAAACCAGGTCACTCTATTTCACATAGTGTTGCATGTCAACATATAAAAAACACATCTGGTTCTCAATTATCTAAAAGTGAGGTAAATTCAACCTCAGGGTAACAGCAGGTCAAATTACCCTTTGTAGTTATTCAATTGAATAAATGAAGCCAAAACACAGAAACTGTCAGAATCTTGGGTTGTTTGAGTTTGTTTTGGGTTTTGTTATTTGTGTTCCTTACTTCTTTCTGCATTGTTTCTCTTTTTACGTTCAGTTCCTTCTTACTGATTCTCTTATTATGTTTATTCCTTGTGTCTAGTCCTAGTTTCTCTAGTTTTTATTATATTTCTTAGGTCTAGTCCCCTGTGCCATTTTCTTTCTCTCTCACCTTAGCCTGCGTGCTGCTCTCTCCCCTCACACCTACAACTAGTTTTTGTTTCTTGTTCAGTAATCCACAATCAGGGTGTATACAGATCTCATTTCCAGTTCTTTGCTTGTTTCTCCCGTCTAATCCCGTCGCTTCCTGTGTTCTCCTTGTGAACTTCTGAATCTCCTTGTTGGTTTTTTCATATTGGGTTACTTTTTGTTTCTACCTTGCCTTTGTAAATTTGCTGATCATTTTTTCTTTAAAACATTTTTTCAACATTATCCATGCTCCCACCTTCCGTCTGCATTTTGGTCCACCATCAAGAAAATAACACCACATGATAGAAACAGTAAGAGAAAGACAAAAGTATCTCTTCCTGTTTCCAGATGATTCAGCAGAGTCAACAGCAGGAACCTCCGTGTATTGCAGTCATGGATTAGTAATTCACCAGCGGGTGTGGACAGCTTTATAACAGTACAACCTATTGCAGATTGTTGATCTGTATCATACAGGTGTTTGACAACACAATGTCAGAGGGCACATAGATTAGTGGTGATCAAAGGGAAACAGCTGTTGATATTTCTCAGACTGGGAAGAATTGTGTGAAACCATGGAGAACATTCAGAACAGCAATGTGTCTTCCTAGCAGTGAACCTGTCTATTCACTCTGAGCTCAGACTTTGCACAGCTCTGAGATATGACAGAGAAAGGCAAAAGCTACATCTGACACACTACCAATAAGCTTGATAAATGTTACAGTTCATGTCCATAGCACTAAGAAAAGATCAAACTAGGATGGCTTCAGAAGAGGCCGTGCATGTTAGTCACTGATTATTTGTCTTGAATTAGATTTTTAAAATATAAATTTAATTGGATCAAATTATATTTTTGAATAATAATACTAATACAGATACATAAAAAATGTTTGGGCAATGATTATTGCATCAATGCAGCGTGAATGAATGAGATTAACCAGTGGTTCTGCTGAGGTGTTCAGGAAGTCCAAGTAGCTTAGATAGCTGCCTAATCACTGAAGCAGCTTTGGTGCATCTCAGTGTGGGTCGGCACCAAGACCTCCTGGAAAATAAATTCAGAAAAGAAACAAGAAGAAAGAACATAAAGTCAGCTGTGAAGAAAACTAGAACCTGTTTGATCCAGGTGCAAAAGGTTTATTAAAAATGTTGGTCTGCTATGGATCATGCAACCATTGTTGAGGCCAAAATTATTTAAACATGATTATCATCACTTCTATTTTCTATCTTGAAGAACATTGTCATGCTGCACATTTAACATCATAAAACTGTCTCCTTTCCAGTACAACTGCTTTAAGAGGCTGGTTTCATACCACAGCCTATAAAACATCTAAGACGCATCACACAGACAACATGCTAAAAATGATGTTTATGACATCAGCTCCTGTTTATTTCCCATGACAACATTTTACAACTTTGACAAAAGTTCCTTTAAAACATCTGAAATGACAGCAGTCAATGTGTGTGGCACATTTGATCAAAGACTCTTCAGTCTTTTCCCCATCTGTACACATGTGCCTCATTACTTTTACAGGGTGTAAATGGTATTTGATGGTTCCCAACATTAGCTGTGCTGTGTTTCTTTCCTTTACCATAAACTTTTCATTTATGGTTGAGGTGATCAAAAGAAAACAGCTGTTAAGGGCTCTATAAGCCCTTAATTTTTCTCTTCCCTTCACTTTGAGTAGCTCAAAGTCACAACAGAAGCCATCTCCCAACATTGACATAGAAACAAAACACTAAAAATTTGTTGCATCATTTCAGTCACTGGCAGAGTGCAGGTACAACTAAAACAATTAAATGTCATGACAAAAAAAGTCACTTTTTAGAAAGTGAAAAGAGTGAGAAAAGTGTCACTCAATATGTACAGTATAATGAGTGATGTATAGAGTGAAATTCATTATGTATAGATTATATATATAATAATCCAACTGGATTATTATATATATAATCTATACATAATATAATGCAACTGCATTATATACATTATATAATGCAACTGCATTATATAATTCATGCAACTGGAGGCCCAAACATTTTATGTAGGTTATCTCAAAATTTCAATCCTTTAATTCTTGTAATTGTGATGATCATGATGTACAGATAATGAAAACCCAAAACTCGGTGTCTGAGAAAATTTGAATATTGTGAAGAAGTTAAGTATTGGGAATCAGCTGATTACCTCAAAACACCTGCAAAGATTTCCTGAACTTTAAATGGCCTCTCTGTCTAGGTCAGCGTGGGGAAGACTGCTGACTGCACAGATGGGCAGAAGACAGTCACTGACACTCTCCACAAGCCACAAAGTTATTGCTAAAGAAGTTGCTGCTGTACCCAATCATGTTCATAGGTAGTTCAGTGGAAGAAAAAACTACGTTAGGAAAGGTGCAGCAACTGGGTTGATCATAGCCTTGGGGGGTTACAATGAGTGGACTGAAGCTGGAGTCTGTGAATTAAGAGCTACTATCAGC